GCATGGTGGCACATGCCTGTGGTCCCACCAACCCAGGAGGCTGAGGCAGAATTGCTTGAACCCAGGAGGCAGAGGTTGCAGTGAGCTGAGATCGCACCACTGCACTCCAGCCTGGCACCTGGCAACAGAGCAAGACAATCTCAAAAAAAAAAAAAAAAAAAAAGGAAAAAGTTTGAAGCTGTCCAGAGCCATTTTCCTGATGAACAAGGAAACGGCATCATTATTTTATAGCTGTAGGATTCTCTTCTTCCTGTCTCCCTCTCCTTCTTCCTTTTCTTCTCCTGTGCTCCCCAGTGTGGTTACCCACTTCTCTGTGACCCAGCCCTAAGTCTAAAGCCCAAGTGCCCCAAGCAATGGCTGTGCAGACATCAACTTTGAAAGAGTGCTCTGAACTCAGTGTGGAGCTGCAGGAAGAAGATATGGAGAAGAGTTGTATGTGGACCACATCAGGAAGGCAGGTTGGCTAAACGTTTATCTGAAAAGCTTTGATTTGTGCAGAGCCCACCTGCTATTTGGTGCCAGCAATAGGCAAAACTGACTCACTTTGATTCATGTGACTATCCTGGCAAACTGAAACCAACTGAAGGCCACCTAAGCACCCATGCCATGAGTGCATAACGGCCGCCATCAAGATGCTCTAAAGTGCTGCACCTGGCAGGCAGTTCAACAGCTCAGTGTGCCAGAGACATGCTGAGGTGTCTCTTTCTGTCCTAGTCCTACTCATGTCCACCTGCCTAGAGGCCCATTGAGAGCCTGAGCTCTGCTGAAAAGGTGAGGCCCTCCTATACTACGTTACACAACACAAATGTCTCAGCACAGAATCTTTCATCTTCTTGGGGAGAGGATCAGCAGCTGACTCTTCAGATTTTGATGTAAAAACTTAGGAAACAGTCTGCATCGAATGAAGGAACTGAAAGTGGAAAAACACATAGGTTTTACTTTATCAATGACGTCCCTGGGACAGTGTTTTTGGCAAATAACTTCACCTTAGATCTCACACCCACACATGACAAAAGCAGCGCTCTCTTCATTTAAAATCTAAAAAGAGGTACTTGTTCAAGTGATCATAATTCTCAATTTCACCCTAATGAGAGCAGTCAAGTACCTCAGCAGCAGCATCACCCTCTACTGTCAGCAGTGGGACAAAGGAACGGTCCTCCATCTCTGACAGCCCACTAGAGCTTCATCTTCACAAACAATTAGCAGCAGAAAGTGAACACTGAAGTAATACAACTGACACTAAAAAGTGTGAGAACCATTTAACTTTTCTTTTTTCCATTTTTCATGCCTTTGATACTGCCGCATCTAATAGCCTAAAATTATGCTGTCTCTGGTCCTCCAAGAGTATGGTTATCTTAAATCAAAATTTTTCATAAATTTAAACACATTACATAAGATGCTACTGTCAGTATCTGAAACTCACTCTGGCATCACTTGAAAGACTTCCAGTGCCAGAGTACATGTGACCGAAGGTTTAAAAGATATGATGAAAGGAAAGATTGCAATGTATACATTCACATTACTAAGGATCACATTAAATACATTTTAACACTTTGGTGCAAATCTCACTTTAAATCCAGAGGGCATTGGCCAGATTGAGAACCAACACCACCACAACAAAATAGAACAAAAACGTTTCCTTTCAGAGGTGCTGGTTTAGTCTCCACAGGTAACTGCCTCAATGCAGGGATGCAGTTTAATGGATCTAGAGAAAGTATTGTTGAGGTGGTAGCTTCTCACCCAACTCACCCAAGGGAAAGTCACAACAGGGCTTGGGTGCTATTGGCCATCTGTTCCTGCCACTGTGCATTTTACTCCAAAATCAAAGGAGCAAAGCCAAAATGTTTGCTGGATGTTCACTTTTAACTGTTACTAATTTCTGGCTGGTCCTGTATTTCTCCTGCCCTCCTCTGGTGAATGACCAGCTAGTTTAATAATGAGTCAAATTACAATAGGCAGTGATTTGCCATCTCCCCACCTCAGTCAGGGCAAAACGCTGTGGGAACCACGCTCTCTGCTCAGTGATGACAGAGCACAGGCATAGATCACTCACATGAACACAGATGGGTCACTGCTCTGCCAGCTCAGATGGTAGGAAACAGTGACCAAGAGGCCATAGAAGGCTGAGAACAGCATCAGGATGTGTTACGTGCTCCATGGATCCTAAAGAAAATATGTCAGTTAGCCAAGTCACTCCACAGTTATGTGAATAGCAGGATCTCTATCAAACATTAGAAACATCTCCACAGTCCAGCTGGATGGATGCGTTAATTCCTGTGATCATTCCTGCCCATGGACATATAAGCATCTAGTGGGCACACAAAAAACTCACTTGTTGGTTTATGAACATTGATTTTGATAAGGGATTGGGGTAGGGGGAGTTTTGACTAATTGTAAATACTTATAAGAATAAAACTGAATCTTTCCTGAAATTAAGCTTAGGATATTTTATAGAATGTAATATTAAACATGTGTCACTCTTCTGAATTCAATGTAACAGTTATAATAATTATTTTTCTCAATGTTTATTAATTGATAGTCTAAATGGCATAAGTGTAAAAGTGGCATAAGAGATTAAACAGACTAATAAACTGAAAACTTGATAAAGATTAAAGATAATCAGCTGAAAGATTTCCAGTGCAAGAGTACACTGCTACTAAAGACTTACGATATGATTAAATCAAAGATTGTAATGTATACATTCATGTTATTAAGGAATACACTAAATACATTTTAACACTTTGGTACAAATCTCACTTTAAATGGCGTAAGCAAAGAAAGAGCAAAGTTATTTGAAATGAAAAGAGAAAGGCACTTCAGGTTTAATTTGATAGAAGCACAGATGTCAGTTATCAACACATGGTACTCAGCCTGGTGGAGCAGAACTTGAAAAATACATGTTACCAGCCCAAGTAGTGTGGTGGCCTGGGACTCCAGGTCTCCTTCCACACACACCTGCTGCTCCCACTAAAACAAACATGTCTCTCACATGCCAAGAAGAAAACATCTACATATTAACTGTCTCAATCACCATCAACAGAATCACTGATCCCTTCTAAAAGCTATATTTAGTCAAGAAATTAAATACTTTTTTCTCAAGATTTTTTTTAAGATGGGTTGTCAATTGTGCTCGCATGATGTTCAAATGAACGAGTCAAGTGTACTTAGCAGTTATCCTCTGTAACTGCTAAGATAGGCTGGAAAGCAAATATACCCTGGATAGAGCTGGTAATTTTATTTTTGAATGCTTCATTTTCTTACAAATTAAAATGTATTTCTTTTACCCTCCCCATTGCAGAAGTCTTAACGAACAAGAGCAGTACCTGGAACACAAATTGCAGGGAGCTGACTCTCGCAGAGACTGCTGAGCTGCATGGTTATAAGGTCAGGAAGTATGACTCACTGTCTCCAGATGCATCTCCACACAGATTCCCCACACCAAGACGTCCCGCATACCTCTGAGATCAGCTTCCCCAGAGGTCAGGTGCATTGCCTTTTCCAGCGCCCTAAGGTACCGTGGCTGCATTCATTATTTTTTAGATTCTGTGCAGATGTCTTCCTCACCAATTTTGTTAAAAAACTTAAACCCAGTGATGAAGCATCCTCCATGGACCTTTTCTTCCTTTGGAGTTTTCATCAGCAACACCTTCCCTTCCAGTATCCAAGGAAGAGGTGTACTTCCTCCTTCCTGAGCCAAACCCTCCCCTCAGATCACGATGTCCTACTCTTTTTCATTGGTCCCCTCTGCCCAGCCGTTAAAAATACTTAAGTTGCTGACATCTTTTTTATTTTGAGATGGAGTCACTATCACCCAGGTTGGAGTGCAGTGTACACGATCTCGCCTCTGCAACAACCTCCACTCACTTCAACCTCCACCTCCCAGGTTCAAGTGATTCTCCTACCACAGCCTCCCGAGTGCCCAGGATTACAGGTGTGCACAACCACAACCAGCTAATTTTTTGTTGTCACCATGTTGGTCAGGGTGGTCTCAACCTCCTGACCTCAGGTGATCTGCTCCCCTTGGCTTTTCAAAGTGCTGGGATTATAGGCATGAGTCACCATACCCGGCCAGTTGCTGACATCTTTAACAAATAGTCAGTCCTCCTTCCCCTTGTTCCAGTTGCCCTCGAAAGCTACTGTACTATCCTAGTCTGTTTGGGCTGATATAACAGAATACCATAGACTGGGTGGCTTATAAACCACAGAAATTTATTTCTCACATTTGTGAAGGCTGAAAGCCCAAGGTCAGGGTGGAGGAAGGAGAAGGTTTGTTGTCTGGGGAAGCCCTGATTCCTAGATGGTGCCTGTTTGCTGTGTTCTCAGGTGGTAGAAGATGTAACAGAGCACTCCAGGGCCTCTTTGACCAGGCACGAATCCGATTAATGAGGACTCCTCCCTCAATAGCTGCAATCACCTCACAAAGTCCTCACCTCTGATACCGTTTCCTTTCAGAGGTGCTGGTTTAGTCTCCACAGGTAACTGCCTCAATGCAGGGATGCAGTTTAATGGATCTAGAGAAAGTATTGTTGAGGTGGTAGCTTCTCACCCAACTCACCCAAGGGAAAGTCACAACAGGGCTTGGGTGCTATTGGCCATCTGTTCCTGCCACTGTGCATTTTACTCCAAAATCAAAGGAGCAAAGCCAAAATGTTTGCTGGATGTTCACTTTTAACTGTTTAAAAGTGTTTCTCACATCCACCCTTCCTTTCTCCCTGCCATGCTCACCTGCCCAAACACACACCCTTGCATTGCTCCAGATCAGCTCCAAGCTGTCTGGGTTTTTCTTCTGGGGCATCAGGCTGCTTCTGGTGCTGCGGACAAAGATGCAGGCACTGAAAGGGCTAGGCCCTGGTCTTGTCCAGCAGCTCACTGGCCAGGTCTGGCAGAGGGCAGGGAGGAAGGAAGCCATGCCTAAGGGGCGTGGAGAATGCAGAGGCTGGGAGGGGCAGGTGGAAGTGGCAGTTCAGGGCTTACCTGTAGGCATCTGAGAGCTACAGGAAGCTGGATTCCTTGGTGCCACAGAGGATGAGGTCCCTGGCCATCCTGCTGAGATGGGTCATGCAGAATGAAGCCTAGAACAGGAACTCAGCTGGGAGAAAGAAAAGATTCCCAGTCACCAAGCCTCTCTGGTACTCACCCAGCCTGACCATACAGAGAGAAAGAGGAAGTTAGACAGTGGAAGGGACCTGGCTACATTTTCATTTTTTTTTCAGACAGAGCCTGTTCTGTTGCCAGGCTGGAGTGCAGTGGTGAGATCTTGGCTCACTGCAGTCTCCACCTCCTAGGTTCTAGCAATTCTCCTGCTTCAGCCTTCTGAATAGCTGGCACCATGGCCAGCTAATTTTTCTATTTTTGTTAAAGACGGGATTTCACCATGTTGTCCAGGGTAGTCTTGATCTCTTGACCTCGTGATCCACCTGGCTGTGTCTCCCAAAGTTCTTGATTAGAGGTGTGAGCCACTGTGCCTGACCTAAATTTTCATTCTGAGTAAAGATGGAGTCTTGCTATGTTGCCCATGCTGGTCTAAAACACCTGGGCTCAAGTAATCTTCCTGCCTTGGCCTCCCAAAGTGCTGGAATTACAAATGTGAGCCACTGCATTTAGCCTGTTTTTTGTTATTCTTGTTGTTTTAAATAAACTAGCTTTGGCTGGGTGTGGTGGCTCACTCCTGTAATCCCAGCACTTTGGGAGGCCAAGGTGGGCAGATCATGAGGTCAGGAGATCCAGACCATCTTGGCCAAAACGGTGAAATCCTTTCTCTACTAAAAATACAAAAATATTACCCGGGTGTGGTGGCACACACCTGTAATCCCAGCTACTTGGGAGGCTGAGCCAGGAGAATTACTGGAACCCAGGAGGTGAAGGTTGCAGTGAGCTGAGATCGTGCCATTGCACTCAAGTCTGGCAACAGAGCAAAACAAAACAAAAAATAAGATAAACCAGCTTTACTGAGGTATTGTTCACATAAAATCTACCCATTTATTTATTTTTATTTTATTTTAATTTTTGAGATAATGTTTCACTCTTGTTGCCCAGGCTGGAGTGTACTGGTGTGATCTCAGCTCACTGCAGCCTTGGACTCCTGGGTTCAAGCGATTCTCCTGCCTCAGCTCTCCAAGTAGCTACAGGTGCTCACCATCACACCTGGTTAAATTTTGTATTCTTAGTAGAAATGGGGTTTCACCAAGTTGGCCAGTGCTGGGATTACAGGCGTGAGCCACCGTGCCCTGCCCAATTTACTCATTTAAAGTTTACACTTTAGTGTACAATCAGTCTGACCATACAGGAGTAAAAGACTGGAGAGAAGCTGGGCAGAGGGACAGAAGTGAGGCACAAGGCAGGGGACTGGCTCCCCAACACTCACCCATGAAGTCACGCTCACTGGTGGCATCCATGCTGTTAAGAGTGATGGCACCAAAGTTGAGTTCTGGGGGTTGGGAGGAAGCAGGGCTGGGCTGGAGAACAGGGAGTGTGGCCTCCTCTCCCCTAAGATGGTTGCCTGGCCCCCTCCCCCTGGAAAAAGGATCAGGGGGAGGCATCTTTTCCAGTCTCAGGAGGGAGGTAGGAGCCCTGAGTCTCTCAGTACCAGGCGCCCCTGCCATGGGTGACCCTTGGCCTAGATAAGCTCAGTGCCCATAGGCAATGAATGATGGTTTCACCAGGGGCCACCGGCTCCTGCCTTCTGGTGTGTCTGCATCTTCTGGCGAGTGCTGAGGGTGACTCTCCCTAGGGAGGAGGGACAGTGTATCTCACCTGCTCAGAGCAGCTCTCTGTCTATACCCAGGCGATTGCCCAAAATGGCCCTGCTTCAGGGACAGGGATTCATGGTGACCAGGGCTCCTGGCAGGCAACCCTGACAGACACACACACACACACACACACACACACACACACACACACAGAATGAAGTCCTAGTTGCCAGGGCAACCACCTGGAGCTCAACCTCTTCCCTGGCCCAGTCACCTTGGGTCCACAACACTTGTCCCCTCATGTCTCCTGAACACTTATCCCCAAGCACCGAGTAACCTTGGGTGCAGAACCCTTGTCTCCTGACACATGTCCCCATATGTCAGCCTGAGGGCAGTGGGCTGGACTCACTAGGAGCCTGAGGAGGCCAGCCCTGCTCAGACACATTCACTGGCTTGGATGTCCCCACCTTAGCAAGACCTGGGGATCCATGCAGGGTCCCCCTCTGAGCAGATAACCTGATTTTCTAACCCTTTCTGCCCTTCCCAGCTCATGTGTGAATCCTAGGCTATGCAGCAGCCACCCTCACCAGGCCCTTAGGGCACTAGAGTTTCACCCACCTCCCCAGGGGCAGGACAGCAATCAGCTTTTGCACCTCCAGCAGCCGCTCAGAGTCTAGGGTCAGCACCATGCACCATTGTGGAAAGCCAGGGGAAGGAGAGTCAGGGCAGCCAGGGTCCTCCCATCCAGTACAGCCCCAGCAACTCACCCAGCTCACCTCAGAATCCAGTGGCTCCAGTGACGGGGCTGGGCCCTCTGCAGGTGGGTGTACCCTGGGAAGAGGATGTCATGTTCCCTGTGGGAGAGGAGGAGCAGGGACTCAGGTGGAGGCCAGGTCAAGGCCTGCCAGTGACACTGGGACACTGCAGGCCTGGGTCACCCCGGGAAGAAGTGTTGCCCTAAAGCACTGCACCTGAATGAGGGATCCAGGGATCTCTCAGGGACAAATTGCTCTCAAAGGAAAAAGAGGATGAAATGCGTCCATGTGAACCATGGACTGGGCCTGACCTGTGGGGCTCCTGGGGTGAGGCTTTGACAGGAACACCCAAAGCCTGAGCCTCTGTCACTCAGTATCTCCCAGCAGGGGGCTAGAAAAGGGGAGGAGGCCCATGTTGGGAATGACTTGGGTATGACTTGGGCGGTTTCATTTGAGGACTCCATAAATAGCTGGGGCTCATAAAGAGCTGCTCAGAGCAGGTAGGATACCTGCCCCTCATTCAAGTTACTAATTTTTTATACTTTTAACAGAAATAGGGGTTCATCATGTTGGCCAGGCTGGTCTCAAGCTCCTGACCTCTGATGATCCACCCACCTTGGACTCCCAAAGTGCTGGGATTACAGGCATGAGCCACTTAGCCCAGCCTTTTGTTTTAAATAAACCAACTTTGCTGAGATATCATTCACACTTTAGTGCACATCCATCACCAATTTTAGAGCATTTTCATCACCCCCTAAGGAAATTCTGTACTCAAGGCCAGGTACGGTGGCTCAAGCCTGTAATTCCAGCACTTTGGGAGGCCAAGATGGTAGGATCACTTGAGGCTGGGAGTTCAACCAGATCGTGCCACATAGTGAAAACCCGTTACTACAAAAAAATGTAAAATCTTTGCAGGGTGTGGTGCACACCTGCGGTCTTACCTACTCAGAAAGCTGAGGTGGGAAGATCATTTGAGTCCAGGATTTTAAGGCTGCAGTGAGCTATTACTGAGCCACTGCACTCCAGCCTAGGTGACAGAGCAAGAGCTCGTCTCTAAAGACAATTAAACAGAGAAAATTTGGCCGGGTGTGGTTGCTCACGCCTGTAATGCCAGCACTTTGGGAGGCCAACATGGGTGGACCACAAGATCAGGAGATTGAGAACATCCTGGCCAACATGGTAATACCCTGTCTCTACTAAGAAATACAAAAATTAGCTGGGTGTGGCACATACCTGTAGTTCCAGCTACTGCGGAGACTGAGGCAGGAGAATTGCTTGAATCTGGGAGGCGGTAGTTCCAGCTACTGTGGAGACTGAGGCAGGAGAATTGCTTGAATCTGGGAGGCAGAGGTTGCACTGAGCCGAGTGCCACTGCACTTCAGCCTGGGTGACAAGAGCAAAATTATGTCTAAAAAAAAAAAAAGTTAAAAAATTTAAAATTAGGCTGGGTGCAGTGGCTTATGCCTATAATCCCAGCACTCTGGCAGGCTGAGGTGGGCAGATCACCTGAGCTCAGGAGTTCAAGAGATCAGCCTGGCCAACATGGTAAAATCCATCTCTACTGAAAAAAAATACAAAAATTAGCTGCATGTGGTGGCACACACCTGTAATGCCAGCTACTTGGGAGGCTGAGGTAGGAGAATCACTACCTCAGACACTCCCTGTTCTTCCTAGCAGCCTTGCCCCACCTCCATGGTCACAATTTGTGTGCCCTTATTTCCCTCCAATTCTAAGAAACAGGGGTCACAGGGAGTTGACCAAGTGGAGGTGTCTCTGACAACACGTAGAGACTCCTCAGTAGGAAAGGAAGGAAGGGAGGAAAGGAAGAAGGAGGGCAGGAAGGAGAATGGGAAGTGTAAGTGCAAAGGGAAGGGAGGAAGAAAGAAAGAGAAAGAGAAAGAAAGAAGAAAAAAAGAAAAAGAAAAAGGAAGAAAGGAAAGAGAAAGAAAGAAGAGAAGTGGGAAAGGAAGGGAGGGAGGAAGGAAAAAGGAAGGAGGGAAGGAAAGAAAGAAGGAAGAAAGGAGAAGGGGAAGTGGAAGGGGAAGGGAAGGGAGGAAGACAAAAAGAAAGAGAAAGGAATGAATGAAGAAAGGAAAAAGAAAATAAGGAAAGAAAGAGAGGAGAGAAGTAGTGGAAGGGAGGCATGGAAGAAAGGAAGGAAGGGAGAGAGGAAGGTCAGGTGGAAAAGGTTGGGGCTGGGCTGGGAGGCAGGAGGTGGAAGTAAGCAAGGAAGGAGAGGAGTGGAAGCAGGGAGACAATTGAGGAAAGGCAAGAAGAGGATCGAGCAGCAGGAAGGTGCCAGGGTCTGAGCTGGGAGACAGGTGATGCCCTGTGGAGCCCCCATGTTGGGGCTGCTCTGAGGAGCCAGGGTGTGGCTGCAAGTGAGTAGTAGAGGGTGACTGTGTGGCCACCCTCTAGTACTGAGGAGAAAGGGGTTGACAAGACTGGTGGTGGGAAGAGTCACTGGGGGTGGGGGAGCCCAGAGAGAGGGGCCCACGTCCCAGAGAGCAGCTGCTCTCTGCCTCTGGTCTCTCATACTCTTTTCTGCACAGCTGTTCTAAGACATTCCATGACTGGGGGAGTTCATGACTCTCTCCTCACCACAGCTCCTCATACCCAGCCCCCTTAGCAGACTGAGACCCTCACTACAAGCCTGGCCCAATTGCCCAGAGTCACTCCCTCCTCCCCTCCTGCCTCCCTGCTCTGCAGTCAGGGGCTCATGGCGGTCCGGGATCCCCCAGTACATGCTGGCACTTGCCTTATTTTGAGACAGAGTTTCACTCTTGTTGACCAGGCTGGAGTTTGGAGGCAAAATCTCGGCTCATTGCAACCTCTGCCTTCTAGGTTCAAGCATTCAAGCAACTCTCCTGCTTCAGCCTCCTGAGTAGCTGGGATTACAGGTACCCACCACCACACCCAGCTAATTTTTGTACTCTTTGTAGAGACAGGGTTTCACCATGTTGGCCAGGCTGGTCTCCAACACTTGACCTCAGGTGATCCTTCTATCGTGGCCTCCCCAAGTGCTGGGATTACAGGCATAGGCCACTGTTCCTGGCCATACTTGGTGGTCTTTAATGAACACCCTCTGGGTGAGTGAGTGCCCACTGGGAGCTGCCAGGCCCACCCCATGTCTGTGGGGACTGCTCGTCCCCCACCACCTGCTGAGTTAGCTGAGCTTGTGTTCTTTCCCTTTTCTCCAGCTCTCTAGGGACTTCATAAAGCCCTTGTTCCCTACCCACCAGCCTGGGGCACAAGAATCCACTCTCCACAGTGTCCCTCACCTCTGGGACTTATGTATTGGTTTGGTGGTTTTCAAATGTCAGCAATTAATTTCCAGCTGATCACTGTTGCGACGACAGTGCATGTCCTTCTGGAAAAAACATGTCTCCATCAAGACCTTGGTGCTGAAGGACCTGAGGGGCCCACTCTAAAGATCCATTAATTGCCAGAGAAGGAGTTTCCCATAATTAGAAAATCATATTCCTTAAAATTCCCCAAGTGCCTTTTCATTGAACAGCCCAAACCCATAGTCGTTTTACGCTTTGCAGAAAATTACAACATGAGGCTCTCCCAGATCCACATCACCCACACACTGAGGGAGCAGGTCCAGGACATTTTCAATAGGAAATACAGTGAGCAGTGGAACACCCCTGGGGGAGGGACACGCAGACACTGTGGACAGAGAAGTGGGAGGCTTCCCACTTCCAGCCGAAACTATTCACTCCCTTACACATATTTCTTGAGGATTTTCTAAATGCCAGGCACGTCTCAGGCACTGGGGATACTGCGGTGAATGAAACAGGAACTGTACTCATGAGCCTTGCACCTGGGCAACATGGCAAAACCCCGTCTCAACCAAAAATACAAATATATTAGCCAGGTGAGGTGGTGCACTCCTGTGGTCCCAGATACTCAGGAGGGTGAGGCAGGAGAATTGCTTGAGCCTGGGAAGTGGAGGTTGCAGTGAACCGAGATCACACCATTGCACTCCAGCCTGAGCAACAGAAGTGAAACTGTATCTCAAAAAAAAAAAAAAAAAAAAAAAGCCTGGGCTTGGTGGCTCACACCTACAATCCCAGCACTTTTGGAGGCTGAGGTGGGCAGATCATGAGATCAGGAGTTCAAGACCAGCCTGGCCAACTTAATGAAACTCCCTCTTTACTAAAAATACAAAATACAAAAATAAAAATACAAAAAATTAGCTTCAAGCACCCTTCTCTATTTGCCTAGACTTCACTGAAGATCTGCTCCCTTTTCATTTAAGCATTGGCTGAATTTTAAGCAGTCCTATACTGTTGTTACCTGCCCCAAAGTGAAAGCAGAAACAAAAGTACCATGGACCACACTAACAACATGCAAATGGCTTTTCTTTTTATGCCATTTATTGATATAGACTGAGACAATAGACCTGTCATCAACATGAGATAATTAACACTGTCCTGGCTAATTGGTTGAAATGAGAATAAAAGACTGGCCGCTTGGCCCCATTCCTCAGCAAGTCATGCCTGGAAAGCTTCCTTTTAGACAACAGTCAATAGTCAACTGCTGAAATTGGAAAAATAGATATATACCACCCTTAGTTTTTAGTTTTGGACTCATTTGGCTTCTAAAAAGACAATAACACCCTTAAAATGAAAAATGCTTTAATTTCAGTAAAATCATAAATAGTTTAACAGTAAGTAGACAATTGTAGTAAAATCATAAATAGTTTAACAGTAAGTAGACATGGCTAGGGAGAGAACTAGTAAATAGGAAGATAAATGTGAAGAAATAAACCAGAATATAGCTTACAGAAAAA